ACTCTTAGACCTACCTATGGTAAAAATATCAGCCAAATCGGTGAGATTGATTGAGCAAGGGTGTGCTTGAATTGGTCGTGGCTTACGTGCAATGCCTCCTAGGCAAGCCAAGGGCCGCTAATATTTTAACCCTGATAGTTTGGTACTGAGAGCTTTCATTTGATGCTAATAAATCCTGGTTTTTCGCTTATCACTTGAAACACCTCCATTGTTAGTTACAAATTCTGAAGTCACTATTCCCTTTTCTCACTTAATTCATTTGGACCTTAAAGAATTCTCATATCCATTAAGATCAACTTTTCCGTCCTCGTTTCTGTACGCTTGAAATAATTTATTCTACAATTCATCAGGTTCCGTCAGGATCCACTAGGATCCACTAGGATCCATTGGGATCCAATAGGATCCACTAGGATCCACCAGGATCCAGTAGGATCCATCAGGATCCACAAGATCCACTAGAATCCACAGAATTCACCAGGATCCGAAGATCCAGGATCCGCTTTTTCCCCCTTGATAATGGGTGTGGCATAAAAAAAATTGGGCACTTTTGCATTTCATTTTATTATCACTTAATAGGTTGTATTAAAAAAATCAAGTATACCATAAGATGCAGCGCGAAAAGTTCTACACCCAGGTCCAAGATGTACGGCGGGAAACTGCCTGATCCGGTGAATTTCCGGCTATTTCAGGGTGGCAGTATTCCCAAATCGGTTCCGGCTTTCGTTTCCTACTTAATTCCCGCCAGTTCCGGAGTCCGAAAGTGATGGCCGGATACGGATCTCTGTTTCCGGTATGGTTGCCGCGCCTAGTTCCAGCGACATATGACGACGACAGGATACGAGCCATAAACTGTCGTTTCCGGTATGGCTACGAAGCCCAGATCCCTCCGTTTGCATTTCAGCTATGGAGGTCGGATCTGATCACAGGATGCGACAAGATAGGACTCGGATGCCGCTAGTTCCAATTGAATGGATTCAACTTTTCAGTAACACCCACACCCACCCCCACATCCTATTCATGGGTTATCCTATGGACGTATCCATATGTCCTCATGGGCTATCCTATGGAGGTACCCATAAGTCCTCAAGGGCTATTCTATAGAAGTACCCATAGGTTCTCAATGGCTATTATATGGAAGTACCCATAGGTCCTCAAGGGCTATTCTATAGATGTACCCATAGGCCCTGAAAGGCTATTATATGGAGGTACCCATAGGTGCTCAAGGGCTATCCTATGGAGGTACCCATAGGTCCTCAAGGGCTAGGTGTGGGTGGGTGTGGGTGTGGGTGTGGGGTGTGGGTGTAGGTGTGGGTGGGTGTGGGTGGGGGTGGGGTGTGGGTGTGGTGTGGGTGTGGCTGTGGGTGGGTGTGGGTGGGTGGGTGTGGGTTTGGGTGTGGGTGTGGGTGTGGGTGTGGGTGTGGGGTGTGTGGGTGTGGCTGTGGGTGGTGGGTGTGGCTGTGGGTGTGGGTGTGGGTGTGGGTGTGGGTGTGGGTGGGTGTGGGTGTGGGGTGTGCATGGGTGGGTGTGGGTGTATCTTATCTCTAATCGTACCCGCACATCCACCCACACCCACACACCCACGCACACCCATTCACATACCAACACCCATCCACACCTACACGACCACCACCCATACCCATCCTTTATTTTGGAAAAAAATTCAATACAGTGAGAAATACTTGCCATTAAAGAAAAGTTTAATTTCTTGCATTGTTCTCAGTCAACATGCGATAATGTGTCACAGACTGTACCACGAAAATGTGTCGTAATCTATTGCCTAATTATTTATCTACCGCTTTCTTTAATGCATACAGCGACATATAACTAGGAAAACAAATCATTTTGAGCCGATGTACTTTCATACAATTTTATCTAGATTATCTCTCGATTAACTTTTAGCTGAGAATATAATGAGATGTCGATCAATGACCAAGATTGAATCACTCCCAAGTAGTCTGATCAACATCAAATCGACTCGATATGGCTGGATCTTACTGTGCTATACACCAAGAGTAGATACTGACAGCTCGAATTACACTGAAACAATAGTATTGATTCAATTTTATAGAAAAGAGTAACAGATGTGTCGAAGGATGGAGTCAAACAATGTTTTCAGAATGTGTGGCAAAATACAATATGTACATCATATTTTTTTATTGATGTGAATGAATACTATTGATAATTATATTTTTGGAAAAAAGCTTCTTGATTTATTTGTGGACAAAGAAAGTGTTTTCAAAGCATTCTACTTTTGCTACTGTGAATGTGCATATCTTCTTCATCTACGTCCTGTATGCAGTTCTTAAGGCTATAATATTTCTAGTCAAAGTTTTTTTTAAGGATCCTTAGATTGTTGAAAAAAAATCGATTTAGTTTTCATTAATGATGTCACAAAATACAAGTATACAAATGAAAAATGTTTCTTTAGGATCTCTAGAAAACTAATATCAACGAGGAAGCTTTGTGCAGTCTAATCTTGCTGAAAATTTTACCGTAGAATTTCTGTTGAAGTTTTCAGGTTTTTTTTTATAGCATGATTACATCAATATGTATATGTGGATTTATTTACAAAAGTTATTTAGATATTTTAGGTTTCCAAATAAATGATTTCGATACAGGAGCAGTTACTGATGTTGGTGATACTCGTGTAGTTTGTATATCATCTGTTGTTGCTATATTTAAATTATCTGGTACTGAAATCGATCGATTTGGTAATTCTTTTGAACTATTCTCAGTAGTTGTTGATGATGATGATGATGATGAAAGACGAGTTTTTTTCGTTGTTGTTTGCTGTTGTAACTCAGTATCATCACGAGTAGATGATAGAATTGTTTGTTCTGTTCTATGACGATTACTTTCACGAGTTTTCTAATAAAAGAAAAACAACAAAAATTTCAAGAACAAAAAAAAAAAGAAAAGAAACTTACCGTTGATATTCGTGTCGAAACATCAGCAGCTCTAAATAAAAAAAAAAAACAACAAAATTATAAAACGGAATTAAAAGTTTTAATATGAACTTTTCAGTTTGATTTTCTACAGTTGAAGAA